TAACCAACTTGTAGAACATATTATAGTGTTCCACTTAGATACCAGCCCCATGAAATCAAGAAATCAAATGTTCAGCAAGATTAAGGAAATATTGACAGAAGGAAACTGGATTTCTCCCTCAATAATCTTAATAAATCAATCCCCGTGTTAACTCATCTTAAGGTTCTTTTTATGAAATTTGGATCTCAATTACTCATTTCTAAAATTTTATTTGTCAACAGTATTTTTGCATGGAAAGTTTAAGGAAAGAAGACGCTCTTAAAAATAAGGGACAAAATCAGAAGGGTAGTCAGGTCCTCTTTTGAAAAATTACACGCACTGATCCACCTCTTAATTATTTAGAATTTTCTCAGTGTTAATTTTTGTTTCAATCTTCATGAAAACTCATGGAACTTTCCCTTGTAAATTATATTCCCCCTCCATCCACACAGACTTTTCATGGGAGGGACAAATTCATGTTTTGATTGTTGTGAGAGCCAAACTTCCCTTATTTTCTGGCAGCCCCCAAGTCCATGCAGGAAGTTCCCTTCGTCAGATGAAATTTACAAAAATATCCTGAATTTTCTTTACGCTCTCAGATATTTTTTTCTGATTTTGTACTTATTTATTGTGTACCTAATAGAGTTTTCAAACTTTTCTTTCAAGGAAAAGTTTGGATAAAGCTAGAATGGCATCGAAATGTTTGCCATTACTTCTTTGATGAGGAACTCTTTTACTGTGGATTCATCTTTTTTATTGTGAACCCAACAAGTAATTGAAGGCAATCAAAATTGTGCCAAAATTATGAATGACCGTACCCCTATTTTGGTAAGCAGGTCAGTGCTTCCTGAATGTTTTCGATCTCATTAAACCGGATCTTTCTTCTTCTCATCTAATTTTATCTCGTGCATTTTTTATGATAGTTTCATCCTTTCATCTATTGTTAGGTATTTAATTCAATTTTATTTTTTAATAATAAAATATTATTGATAAGTATCTCTGATAGTACTTTTTTGTGAACCTTTCCTGTCTTGAATTGTATCACACAGTACTCAATGCTATTTTTCGCTATGGAGTTTTTGATAATGAAAATACCCAAGTAGTATAGATTGCAATTAATTTCAATTACATGGTATTGCTATTGTCCTGGAGTGCTGTGTGCATTGTTTATTCACAGATTGAAGGGGTTTCTCTCATTGTTTATTGCAATGAAATTGAAATAAGTTGCATCTATTTTTTGTATTGTAAACTGCTTACCTGTCTTTCTCATGTAACTCATTTTATCGATCGTTTTAAATCGACAAACATTGGCCAAATGATGTAAAAATATTGCAATTTCATCTTTAAAGAAATTGAAATATCATAACATTAAATTTCAAAATTATTTTAAATTTTTCCTTGCTTTTTGCTACTCAGGTAGAAAGTCTGATACCAGCTCTTGTCATATCTATATTCAAAGCTGCCATTGAATTATTAAAATTTCCGTTCAATGAGATACCCTTCGATAGTTTCAACATTATTTTTTAACCTAATACAGTAAAAGTTCATTAAGTCGAATTGTCTGGGGACCAATGAAAAATTCGACTTAAGCGGCAATTCGAGTTATTCGTTTCTCCGCTTACCTCGAAATCAGCGTGAAAATCGCAAAAATTCGACTTAAACGGCAATTTCTTTTGTCAGTGCAAAGGAGCCGACAGCGCAATAGCCAGTATTCAAAATCTGGAATCTTTGCTCATTTCCAGAATGATAAATCGCCACAAGCAATTAAAAATTAACGATTTCTTTAAGTGATTTTGTTTCTTTTTAACTTTTTAACGCTTTTTAACTTTTACTCTTTTTTAACTTTTTACTCTTTTTAATTTTAAGTTTTAAGCCAAATCAATGAAATTTAGTCAAATCAGTGTTTTCTATGACGCAATGAGTGAAGTTAGTGTTCCGCAGTGTCAAGTGTCAACGCCAAGCATCAAAAAAATTCAATTTTCGGACATAACAACCAACAGATGTCACTTCTCTACTCCCTTCGTGTATACAGGTACGTAGCAACGAATCTCTTTTCTACATTTCTCCCGTCTATATTGCGCATTTTTTGTGTTTTTCGTTGTAAAAATCCGGATTTTTCGAAAAAAAAATTTCGACATAAGCGGCTTTCCACCTGGCTCAAAAATTCGCGAATTTGTCTAAAGCGTAGTTTTTTTAACGTTGTTCCATATCGACGGTGAAACTACCAAACCACGTATCTCGTTTGCGGTGTTTAAAAATCTACGCTCGCATTTTATTTTTTTGAAGTCGACCAAATCAATATGATTCCTTGAAATTTTCACAGAATTTTCTCCGCACAAAGAGGAAAAATCACGAAAATTTTCAATACTAGACGTTGAGTAGTTTTTCATTTAAAAAATAAAGTATGACAGGAAGTCTGCGACGTCGCAAACCGAGATACGTGGTTTGGTAGTTTCACCGGCGATATGCAACGTCGCGGGGCCGAAGAAAATTTCGACTTAAGCGGATTTTCGTCTTAATCGTAGTTCGACTTAACGAACTTCTACTGTAGCGATTTCAAGTGTAGGTACCGAGCACTGAGTGATCGGTAAAATTCTCGAAATAGTCAAATATTTTCCCCAATTTTCAAATTAAAATCGAATAGTTCATCATTCAACTTGACAAGCCTATATTTTTATCAATATTGAGGAATGAATCAATGACTACCTGCCTTTCTGGCAAGAATTTAAGATCCAAAAACGGTAAAGGTTCCTGCCCATCCACCCCCTCTTATGGTCATTTTAACTTATTGTTCAATGTTAAGGATCTTTTTAAGGGTGTCTTGGAAACCGCGACATTCTCTTTGCCACATCTCCCTGTTGTATCGTAGCGCTCAGGGTGCGTGGAGTTCTAGAAGTGGATCTAACCTACCCAGGTAAAATTTTGCGACACAATCATTGATTTTGCAAAGACAGTTTTACAAAGATGTCCGATTCATTGAAATCATTTTTACCAAGCTGCCGCATTTAGAAATGTTCAACCCTCTCTCTTAAAATCCTTGTTTTATCAAGGTCCTGATTTTATTATCATCCAAGTGCAACATTAACTGACTGAGGCTCTTTGGTCAGTTTTTATGTCATGATGTACATTTTACTGCCGTTCACATTGATGTAAGGTATATCTAAGTATAGAGCACGCACCCAACCCAGGGCCGGATTTAGGGGGTGGCCACATGGCCCGCGGCCCATGGCGGCAAATTTTGCAATTTCTTTTAAATGTAGGTGTAAAAAAAATCGGATTCAGAAAAAAAATAAGAACGAGAAAAGGCGACAAAATCTCTCATTTCCTGAGAGCATAGTAATTTCTAATTTTGTCGTCTTTTGGTGATACAAGAAACAGCACCTTTAATTGGACAACATTTTGCAATTTGGAACTATAAATTCTAACCAGGTTTAAAAACAACGTATGTGACATTAGTTTCCCTATGCACATAAGTGTTTTTCCGGAAGAGCCAAAATTTATAGTTCCAAATCGCAAAATGCAGTCCAATTAGTAGAGTTAAGAGAGAAATCAAACTCGCAATTTGGCCTGGAACAGCGCGGCGCAGTGAGCAATGATGACAAAGGACTTGAGATGAAAAGGAGAAGCCCTCGGCGCGGCGGTCGGCATGTAACATATATTAGCGCCTACATAACTGCATGAATACTTCACGCATTGCGTCGAACACAATGCGGTCAGCAGCGGTCGACGTGAAACGCATAGCGCCTACAAGACTGCATGAATACTTCACGCATTGCGCCAAACACAGTGCGGTCAGCGCTACAAGGCGCGGCGGCGGCGGAAAATTATTAAACCACATTTATGTTTGTTCTTTCATAATTTCCTCGTTTATTTCTTATAAATGGAAGGCCTTGTCCACACAGAGATAGGTTTATGGAAGTTACTTTCACGCAAAGTTCCGTGAACTTTTGGTAGTAGTGTTGACAGGGCTTTCGCAAAAAAATGTGTCCAACACGAGTAAACGCGTCTTATGCATCCCTCCCCACGTTCGTTTTTGTTGATGTTTCAATACGAATGAGAAGGGGGCGGCAAAATACAGGCGGCCCATGATGGGCGGCAAGTAGGTAAATCCGGCCCTGGCCCAACCAGCCCAGATAATCATGAATTGGGTTGTTGCATGGGTGGAGTGGGGGATTCAAGAATCAATTGCATGGTAAAAGTAATTTATGTCACTGCCACGGAGTGTTATGTGCCTACATAACACTCCGTGTTATGTACATAACACAACATACCTATGTTTCCTATCTCGTAATTGAAGGGGCACCACTTACTGAAAATCGCAATGACATTGAAATAAATTGCTATTTTTCTGTTTTATGGAACTCGTTTTATTGATCGCTTAAATTCGGCGTATCGACGGTTTAAGTCCACAACTACGTAACTCGGTTTGCGACGTTGCAGACTCCCGGTCGTATTTCATTTTGTAAGTGGAAAACAATCCAACAGCAATTCTTAAAAACTGCCGTGATTTTTCTTCTCTATCCGAAGGAAATGCTACGAATAAACCTTCAAGAAATTATGTCAATTTGCTCTCCTCAAAAAAAAAAGAAAAAAAATACGAGCGGCGATTTTCAAATACCGCAAACGAGGTGCATGGTTGCGGACTTAAACCGTAGATATCACTGTTCAATCGCTGATTAATTTTGCATCTTAAATTTTAATTTTATCCCCATATTTTCGTCGGATGACTTTCCAGGCAAAAAAACCAACGTTTGCTAGAGAAATCCTCACCCATGAAACCACAAGCTATTCCTCTATCTCTAAAAATACCTCAACTCACGAGCTAGTCCCCATGCGCATCGATTCCGCGCTGCGTCGCGCACACATTTCTCTATTTTTAAAACCGTGCCCCATCGTAGCCGGTCCATCCTCAAAAATTCACCGCCTCGTTACGTACAGAAATCAGAATTCCCAGCTAAATCTGACTCCGCTGCCTATGCAAACTGTCACTCCTTGATCCGCCCGAGAAACTGGACCGGTAGTTTGTTGGGAATCGCTAGATTCAACAGCAATGTAAGGGACTGTGCATTTATCCTTCCGGAGACCAGTGTAATATCCCCTAGGAGATGGGCGGAAACCCTTCGCGAATCCTAACGCGGCTCGTGTGGGTGTGAATGGATCATCTTAAACTTCGGTGAAAGTAGGTGAATAACTAGGTGTCTTCTGTTACACCTCGCGCACCTCTGTTATCAATCGGTGCCCGGAAAAATGATGGTTCAGACTGCTTGGATAAGTGTTTTCCTACAGGTCATCGCTTCCGTTTCGGGGGTACCGGAGGTCATCAATTTAGGTGAGTGACCTAAATTAACCTCCCATTCACTGAACAGAATAGACAGTATATCTTGTACATGTATCACGTTTTTGTTTTGGTAATAGCCAGGTACGAGTATTGAGCGCGCCTGCGCACTAACAGGTTGCGCAAGTGAAACGAAGAATATGATAGATCTGAAATTTTGATGCGTTTCATGAGACTTTAAAATATTTCATTTTTTTAGGGGCCAGAGTATGCAACCTGCACTCGAAAACAATGCTAATGCCAAAAAGGTAGTAGTAGTAGTCTAAATTAATCCTGTTTTATGCTTGCAGGGGGACTATTTCATTCTACCGATGAAATTCAAAAAGTTGCATTCAAATGTGCGACCGAGATGGTTCAAAAGGATTCACATCTGCTGCCCAACACGACCATCCTGACACATATGTTGGACGTACCGCGGTATGACAGTTTCCAAGTCCAACTCAAAGGTAGGTATTAACAGCGAACTTTTTCGACGACTTTCGTACGTTTGTACAGCGTTTTTTCTCATAATTGGACCGAGTCCATCAGAAAGAAACCATAAACCCACATTTTGAAAAAAAATTGAGCTAAGCATGTTTTTGAGTTTTACTATAGTCGTATATATTCTCCTGCCAAAAACTCAAGTCGAAAAAAAGAATTAGTCTGTGTTATGAGGGGTTAAAATTTATTTTTTACGTTGGGCCTCAGGGCCAGATTTAGGGGGTGGCCACATGGGCCGCGGCCCATGGCGGCAAATTTAGGGGGCGACAAATGTTGTAATTTTTTCAAATGTAGGTATCAAGAAACAAATCTGAGTCAGAAAAGGAATTACAAGCGAGATAAGGCGAAAAAATCTCTCATTTCCTGACGGTTAAAGCATAGTAATTCCTAATTTGTTCGTCTTGCGGTGATACAAGAGACAGCGCCTTTCGTTAGTCTAGTTGAGAGAGAATCCAAACACGCAAGTTGGCCTGGAGCGGCCGCGGTGTGGCGGCGCAGAGAGCAATGATGACGAGGACTTGAGATGGAAAGGAGAGGCCCTCGGCGCGCCGCGCCGGTCAGCATGAAACACATATTAGCGCCTACAAGACTCCATGAATACTTCACGCTTTGCGTCAAACGTAATGCGGTCAGCAGCGGTTGGCGTGAAACGCAGAGCGCCTACAAGACTGTAGGGATACTTCACGCATTGCTCCAAACACTGTGCGGTTGGCGCGGTGGCGGTAATTAAAATCATTAAACCACATTCATGTTTACTCTTTCATAATTTTTTCGTTCATTTCTCAAATATGAAGGGCCTTGTCCACACAGGGATAGGTTTACGTGACTTAATTTTCGCGCAAAGTTCCGTGAACTTTTGCTAGTGTTGACAGGGCTTTCACAAAACATGTGCCCAACACGAGTAAGCGCGTCTTATGCACCCCTCCTCCGGCACGGTCACTTGATGGTTTGTATCGATGTTTCAAAACGGATGAGAAGGGGCGGCAAAATACAGGCGGACCATGGGCGGCAAGTAGGTAAATTCGGCCCTTTCGCGGGCCTTAAGGAGAAATAAAACTTCAATCCTCTTTTTCTCAGTTTCAACTTTATGTGGGTTGGTTCCTTTCTGTTGAACTCTATCCAATGGTGTATGCTCCCCTCCTTTTTTGACAATCGGAAATGCCATTGGTTTTATGTGACCGGATAGGCGCCAAAATTATTTTTATGCCCTAAGCACATCATTTTAAAATCGCGTGGGTTCCACTCATTTTTATTTCATAAATATTTCCTCCTCAAAATTTCACGAGAAAAACGACATCATATTCACAACTGGTATGTCTAGAAGTAAATTTTTTCACGAGATGTAAGTAAGTCTGCAGTCAACATTGGTCAAATCCTCAAATCGCAAAAATGAAAAAGACGTCAGTCGTATAGTCTAATATCCGTTTGATCTGCGTGATAAAAATACTTAAGGTATCTCGTTCAGGAGCTGATTTTTGATTTTCCTGTTGTAAGAAAGGTTTTCTACGTAAGATTCTCGAGAGAAATCATGTGATGTCATTCACTAGTCCAGACCGTGTCTAATGGCCGGCCTATTTGATTAATTTAATTCAATTTTTTGTAGTGTGCGAGCTGATGGGAAAAGGTATTTCGGCTGTTTTTGGACCACAGACAGGATCTACGTCATCAATCGTGCAATCCCTGTGTGACAACAAAGAAATCCCTCACGTTCAATCTCGATGGGACTACTATCAGCGACGCGGGTCCTGCCTAGTTAATCTTTACCCCCATCCATCTGTGCTCCTCAAGGTATGCAAAAAGAAATAATTCAATAACTCCATATCATAGTTATCCTTTCAATGGAGCCCTTGCAGGCGTGAGGGATTTGCGATTCAAGTACTTTTTCTTGCGTAAAAATCTGCTAGAAACACGATGGCTTCCTTAGATTTCTCTACAATCAACTCCGAAGCTCAGAAAAAGCTTTTAAAGTTGAGGCCGTAATGGAAGGGATATCCCACACTACTCTGAGAGTCCACCTCTACGTCGAGACAAACTTTCCATGCAAAGATAAGGAGCAAATACATTAGCGGGGTTGCCATGTTTTCAGTTTTGGAATCCCCAAACCAGGAGGTGACCCTGAGCATGTATTTGCTCCCTATCTTTGCATGGCGAGTTTGACTTTATATAGTGGTGGACTCTCAAAGTAGCGTGGGTCCATTACGGCCTCAATTTTGAGAGCTTTTTTTAAGCTTTGGAGTTGATTTCCGAAAAATCCCTCGGTGAAATCCTCGTGCTCCTCGCGAAATTTTACATAGGAATCAGTACTCTAATCAAAATACTCTATACAGTACTCTAATACAAATTCCTGCCACATGCAAGAGCTTACTGAGAAAAATTCTTGAGATATTATTTTGACTCTAAGCGTAGTTTCTTGTCTACAAAATTTGTTGTTGTTTTGTTTTTTTAGTCAAATCTGTGTGGATTCAACTCAACATACCTACGTTTTTTTTTTTTGAGTCAAAAAAGCGTCGTTTTTTATCGTTAAGTTTAAGTTAAAGAAACGAAAACAAAACAATTACGTTTCTTTAACTCAAAGAAACCAATTTTTGTCGACAAGTCGCTTTAAAGTCGAAATAATATCCTCCAGAAATTTTTATTCAGTGCTTTATCATACAATAATCTAACAAAAAATAAGACTTTTAGCGGAAAATATAAAAACAGCCACTTACTTCGTCTCAATACATTGGGTATGCACCTACTTTTGTATGGTACCTGTTCACTAGGTATTCACTTAAGTGTCCACAGCTCGTGGCTTCACGCAACAAAACCGGTTCCATTTAACCATAAATTACAGGTGTTGTCTGGCTAAACCAGAAAAATGGGTGTGGCAAAATGCAAGAAATTTTACATTTTCCCTCCTATATTTATTTCAATGCAGTTTGAGCAATTTTAATGAAGAGTTGGCAAAGGTGAAAAATTTTGAGCCCGCATTCTCAGTAAAATTTGGGAGTGTTGCCATCCTCCGATACTGACCAACATTGAGGCCACTTTACGCTGAGTGAAAGGTAATTCAGTAGCCCGCTACTTACTGAAGATCTAACATTGAGGAAAAATTCTGGGTTTCCATTTTCAGTAAAATTTAGTAGGTATACTAGCCGACACCGACGGATGTTGAAGCTGCCTTACACTGAATGATACATGAAAATCAGGCGATGTAACCAGTTACATTAATTTGTAAATAACCGTGCACGAAAGCAAATGATAAAATTAAGGCGAATAAGTTGCGCTTGCCTCAGAAATCGTAGCCACCCTCACAAAAGAGCCTTCTTAAAATTCATGGTTGCAAAATTTCCCCTCGCAAATTGCATTTTTACCAGGCAGGAGAATCTTTGGCATTGCTAACTGAAAATTTCACCGATTTTCCTCTGATCTCATGTAAAAATCAGAAAAAATTTAACAAAACTTACGCAGCTGTATAAAATTGAATTGCTTGAGTCAATTTGGCAACCTTGGAATGGAATTACGTTCCTTCATCAGGAAAACTACGAAATTAGAGCACTTCAGCAATATATCGAAATCTTAAGTATTGTCACACTATACCGTTCTGAAACAGGTAGACCAATTATTCATCAAATAGATCGTTTTTAAATTTTTTAGTTTAGAATTTTTCAACTCTGTCGCAACATTTCGTCACGTCATAATCTTTTGACAATCAGAACATGCTCCGAGTAAGTTCCAAAACAAGACTAATAAATTGACTGATCTCAACTTATTTTTTGAGGTACCAGAGAATATTCGATTGTCCTGAATAATTTTGTATGATTTTTCGATCGGTTGGTTATAATCTCAGGGTGGGTCGATTGTCTTTCAAATATTCGATTTTTTCACATTTTTAATGGACCATTAGACAAGGTACGAATTTAAGCATTCTAATACATCTGTCTTGACCAGAATTTCACGTAGAACACGACTCGCGCAACGAAAATTACCGAAATCAACTCCTAACAAAGATATTAACGTTTTTATTTCACATTGGTTACGAGGAATTTGAACTGCTCGCTCTCAAGAAACTCAAAGCTCTACGTGAGTCAAATCGTGCACTACAACGATTTCAGCAAGCTTCTCAATTAAGCGATGTTCATTTCCCACCGTGCTGTTCAAACTATAAACAACTTGCTATAGCTGAGCTAAAGCGTCAAGATTAAGGTAGGTATTGCTAGATTTTTATATCGCAGAGACTGTCATGATAACGTTTAGCGCGCGATGTGAGTCCCGTAGAGCATTGAGTTTTCATGAGCGGATAGTTTGAATTCACGCATCAAGAATCATTAAATATCTTCATAAGGAGTTAATTTCGGTAATTTTCGTTTTGCGCATAGTGTTCTACGTACAATTTTGCTTATGAAACGTGTATCAGAATGCTGAAATTCGTGCCTTGTCTACTGGTCCATTGCCATGACACTATCCTTTGAAGGCGGAAAGTGACCGTCCCTGTGGTTATGGAACCCGTAAGGGCTGAGAGGTTACATGGAAATTGATAGAATTAAGAAAAACAGTCACATTTATATTATGGTGCTTCAAAGTGTCATCTTCCATTTTAATTTTTCGGAGGGAGGCTAACTAACATTATCGCTTATAATTACGTCGAAATAACCCTCAAATGGACAAGACAAATCGCAATGATTTTCGACTAGGTACGTTGGTTGGTTTCCTTCCAAAAAATTGAAATAAAAAATGAGGTTTTAAAACACCACAATTTGTATGAGACCGTTTTCCTTCGCACTCCGATGTGACGATCAATTTTGAAGTCAGACTTGCGTGATGCGCAAAATATGATTAAATTTAGTACTTCTCCTTAAGTACTGCTGGCTAAAGAATTGGAATCGTAGTCACAGTTGGCGCCAGAATATTCACACCCAGCTTTGAAAACGCTGGAACTGAGACAAACTTTTTTCATGGACAGGGGATACATCCAGAATTTGTCTAGAAATGATCCATCCAGAGGATCTATAAATCTATTAGGGATCCTCACCTGATTCCAAATAAAACAATTTGATTCCAAAGAAAACATTTTAACCTCTGAAAGAACACTGATGGCCCCTGAGTTTTGATCAAGCAGGTCAAAGTGGCCCCTACATTTGAGGGGCTCGGAGGACTCGGCGCATAAAAAGAAAAAAAGTTAAATTTTTTTTTAATTTAGTTAATTTTTTAAAGTTAAAGTTTGCAGTTTTTGAAAAAAATGAGATATTCGTCAACTCAACTAAAACTAGTTTGAAAGTATAGTCTGCGAAAACTTCACGGCTAAAATCCAACTTTAATGCATCAAAAAGTGAGTTTAACTTCCTTTCTGCCACAAGGCTCTATGTACATTTACAACTTTAGTCGGGTTTTTTGAATTAGCAAAAACTGCATTTAAGCGCCTTGGCCTCCAAGCCCCTCATTTCTTCGTGGGTTTCGAATATTGATAACGACTTAAGTGCGTACCAAGATAATATCGCGGATCGATTCGTATCATCATTCGCCACATCCACTAGTCCCAGAGTTATTTTAAAGCCAAGGCTGCTCACACTAGTTGGCAACACTCGGATTCGTCCTCCTCGATTTATTCAAACTTATCAGTGGCGTGGCGTATGAATTTCGATGTATCGATTGTTATGCCATTTAAACCTATGATAAAGAATCGATTATTAAGGTGTTCGCTGCAGACACCCTGTTTATCGATCCTTTTTCATAAGTTTAAATGGCATAACAATCGATACATCGCAAAGCACGCTACGCCACTGTAACTTATCGATATTTATCTAAACCGAATGCCACATCTTTTAGCATCCTCCGATACTGAAACCACCGTACACCAAAAGAAATGAACGGCGGCAGTAGCCCGCTACTTACTGAAGATTTGGCATTGTTGAAAAAAGGTGAACCCCTATTTTCAGTAAACTCTACTCACTTAACCACTCTTTTGATACTGAGCGACCCTCCACTATGCTGAATGACAAAAAAAATGGGGGAAAAAGGGGGGGGGGAATCAATGGCTCCTACATTCATACAGGGTGGGCCTAAAGTAACTGAAAAGTGTGTATAACTTTTCAACAAAATGAGCTGAAGGGTTCCGGTTTGGACCATTGCTCATTGTGGCAAGGGGCTGATTTTTTCAGGGGGGCTCATTAATGTCCCCCCCCCCCCCCCCCGTAGTGTAAAATTTTCAGGCGGNNAGCCCCCCCCCCCCCCCCGCGAACTGATGAGAAGCACATCCTCCGATTACTTAGCTATGAATGAAATAGTCGTGCTACGAATTTTAACCCGTAGATGGCCTCTTTGCGACTTTTCTAACAGGACTTATCAATTTTTGAAAATTGGTCCAATAGAACTTTAATCATGAATAACTCGGGAACAAAAAGTCGAATCGATCTCCGGTTTGCGCGAAAATTCTTGTTTTTTATCTTCTTTCAAACGGTGTGTCACAAAGAGAGGGAGGTCACCATTTGAAAATCTCGAGTTGCCCCCCTGAAAAAAATCAGCCCCTTGCCACAATGAGCAATGATCCAAACCGGGAGTGAATTATCTCATTTTGTTCTAAAGGTATAGACACTTTTCAGTTACTTTAGGCCCACCCTGTATATCAATTCATGGTAGCGAATAAGTAAATTAAAGCGCATGAGTAAGTTAAACCCAATATTTTGCTTGCCTCAGAAATGGAGGCGCTCCAATGATCCTTAGAAATCTTAGATATCCGGTGTGGTGTTTTCGCCTCACTACCACACTGCTGCTCTATGCTCTGAGAGAGGCCGAACACTTGAGGAGGCGGT